TCGCTATTCTCATTGTTTGGTTGGTCCAAGATAATGATGTAAATGAGATTACATTATGTGAAAAGGATTAACTCAAATGTTGTAATCTAGAATACATCAATGAACCTATGTAATCCCCATTGCCACTTCCTTTATCTCATAATACTCCTCCCCATTCATGTGCCCCTCCTCCCTCCCTCTTCCTCTCCTCCACCGGTGTCCTCCATCTTTGACATCTCCTCCACCAACAACACTCCTTGAACCGCCTTTGTTCTACCCACAACTGCCAACCTCTTCCTTCTTGCACCACCATCATTCATTCTCCTCCAATTGTAGACCTTGTTCTTCTCCACCACAATCTTGTTCATCGCACCACCATTGTTCACATCACATCCGCCAGCGCACCCTTCTTATTTTGCACCACACTCGTCATTCACATCTCTTTCTTCCCCACCAACTTTCTTCTGCAGATTTGATTTTTAATCCTCATCATCTTCAAATTCCTTTTTCATATTGTGGGCTTTTCGTTCTGATTATGTTGCTGTGTATTTTGGTGGATCATCAGCAATACTAATTTGACTGGGAAGCATCAAAGAAAGAGGAGGATGGGGGAGTTTTTCTTCTTACGAATAAGGCTACAATGGTTATTTCATTATAATCATGATTGCGTCATATTACATTCCCGGCCATTGCATTCTATTGCACTGCCATTCATTCCGTGAACCAAATGGCCAGCACACACTACAAAAAAATAGGGTATTAGTGACAGAAAATTCCATCACTAATCCTTCGCTAATCCCTCACAAATTCCGTCAATAATATTGATGATGAAATTTAATGACAGAAAATTTCAGTCGCTAAATTAGTGAAGGATTAATGATGAAATTTTATTTCATCACTAACTTAGAGACGGATTAGTGACAGAATTTTATTCTATCACTAAATTTTGTAAAAATTCCGTCACTAATTTCTATCACTAAGTGACGGATTGGTAATGGAAAACTTATTTTTGTCACAATTCCATCACTAATCCGTCACAAAAAAATATAATATAACTATATAACAATTATTTTAAACTTATATTAAAATAAAAATATAATATATCATAATTTAAAAAAATATATAATATATTTTTTAAATTTTTTAATAAAAATATAAATTATTGGAAAATTTTTACTAAATATAAAAATTAGATTCAAATAAATAGTAACATATTAAATTATGTATATAATATTTATTATATATATTTGTATTTGTTATTAGAAATATTGTATATATTTATTTTTGTAAAAGAATTTCACACGTGCTTCTCAATTCAACTAGCAAAGGCTTCAGCATGCGTGTAGGAGGTCTTAGGTTCAAATCAACACTTCTTCACAAATTGGCTCAATTTGTGATGTGTCGATGACATGGCGGCTCATAATGATGGACACGTGTGGTGATGACATGGACAAGACGATGACGTGGCGACTCCTCATGATAGACACGTGGTGATAATGTGGTTACATGGGAGAGAGGAAGAGTTGAGGATTAGTGACGAAAAATTTTCATCACTAATTTCCGCTCCTAATCCGTCATTAATCCGTCGCTAATTTTGATTAATGACAGAAATTTTGTCACTAAATTCCGTTACTAATTTAATTCTTTTTTTTTTTGTAGTGACATGTTTAGTTTGATTGTAATAATTTTCTAAAATGGAAAAAAAACCAGAAAAATAAAGAAAAGCATTGTCGCTTGTTTTTGCTTTTCCATCTTCACTTTGTGACAACGCTTTTCTATTTGGGTAATAGATTTTGTCTGAGATGTCATAGAGTTGGTATGGTTTGTAGCCATCATTATCCAATGATATCTTTCCTCCTTCATTTTCTCTCCATCCAAACGAAAAGTTAGGTTTTACATATAAATCTAAAGTTTCAATAGTCATCAGCTATTTGTTTCAGTTGTCACATTTGGATAAGGTCTTGAATTCAAACTTGGCATTGACATATTTGTATATGTGTATGCTTTTAATTGTATTATATAAAAAAATGTAAAATTTCAATAAACTTGATCTTCCAAATTTATAACTTTTTCTAAACCATCTTATTGATTATACATACTAAAGAGATATGAAAAACATATTTTAAGAAACTAAAACACTTTTTTTTATTGAATTCAGAGTATCTACTGCCAAAAACAGTAACTAATCCCCTCGCACGATAAATTTCCTGAAGGGATTCCAGTGCTGGCCACGAGACCCTCACACTAAAACATATTTTTACAAATAACTAATTTAATTAATTTTTTTAATCTTTGCAAATTAATTATATAACTTTTATATTAATAACTGAAACGAGCATTTAAAATTTTGCAACCATCTCCATGACGTTACTGCATAAGTATGTAAAGTTAACTAGGAACATAACCATTGTAGAATTGGGAGTTTTCCATGTTAATTGTGAAACTCTTAAAATCTACTTAAAAAAAAAAACTAATTTACAAGTTTTTATAGTTTACATCAATTTTGAATCCCGTCCCTAATATTTTAGGTTGTTAAGTTCATCCATCCCTTATGGTCTTTTTTTTTTTTTTTACCAGATCCATCCCTGATGATCTAAACCATTATAACTGTTAATTTTAATGAGTTGAAAACTGACTAAGCTGACATAGAGATAGGATAATGTGATAGGTGGATTAATTCCTAACGTTCATTGGCAGGGTAGGGATTGAGAGTGATCTTTTCTTCCTCCTATTAGAGGCTGCGCTCAAGAACTCGGATGGTGAGGATGAAGACGAGGAAGCACTATGAATGGTGAAGACCCCAAACACTGGGAATTAGTCCACCTGGCAGCTAAGTCATGTTGTCATGTCTCTGTGTTGGCTCAATCAGCCTACAGCTCGTTAACTGTTATCGATGTTATAAGGGTTAGACTCTAATGGATGAAATGACTTAACGGATTAAAATATAAAAGCCCAATTTAAAAAAAAAAAAAACTTATAAAAATCTTATGCCGTTTGTACATGGAAAAATGTACAACTAACATTAGTGGCTTCAGCTCCAAAAAAAATTAGTGGCTTATTTTTACAATGATACTTGTTTGGATCAGCTTTTTTTCAAATGGGCTTTTAGAAAAAAAGTCAACTACAAGAAAAACTGAAAATTTGAGCTTTCACAGTTGACAATGAGAGAGAAAACAAAAAGAATGAAAAGTAAGATAAGAGCATTTAAATGAGTCTTATCTTGACCTAATAATTTGATTTTTTTTTTCTTCTACTAAGAAAAAATTACACAGCAAAATTTAATTATTTTAATTTATTACTTTTCTTGAATTTATCAAATTGTATGCATATGATAAAGTATTTTTGCTCTTTAATATAATATCCCAATAAACTAATTTGAAAAGATTAAAAAAGCTAAATAAATTATCAAATTAATATCATATAATATAAAACACTATTATTCAATAAAATTTGTGTCTTTTTTAGTCATTTTACATTTAAACATACTTTTTCATTAATCATTTAAACAAGTTTCAGGCTATTCAATGGCTTTAATAAACACAAATCTAAACATAAATTATATTACACTAACTAACTTTTATTTTAACTAAGTTTACAAAATCAGTTTTACCACCGTTAATCCAAACACACCTGTAAATTATAAGGATCGCCAAATTAGTTTTCCCTTGAAAAAAAAAAAGACTCATATTCTTAAATAAGCATCTCATGTTCAACAAACATTAATGAATTAATAACTCGTGAATCAATATTCTTGTTTTCCAAATTGGATGGATACTTTATACTGTTTGACTTATGATAAGTAAGACTTGCTATAAATTTTTTACTGATTTGAGTTACCTCATAATCACAATCCCAACCTTCATCCAATCATGCTTTAGGGTTCTTCCAGGTATGACTGGGAAGAGCAAGAGATAACAGAGAATTTGTGCAGAGAAAAATAAACAGAAAACTCCAAACAAATACTGATTCTAAGTGATCAGATGATCCAGAGAGCACATGCACCGGCCCCCAGTAAGGTGGAAAACTGCTTACACAAATCAATTTCTCAACTACGAATGAAATAAAGCGGCAACAAACTCAAATTTGCTTTCTTATTTTTGTCCCCTCTCTCAATCAAACAAACAAACGCGCACGCATGTTTTCGAGGGTGAGACTAGACAATGGACATATTGTTGTCGTGTGATCTGGAGATCACCGGTTTAAATCGTGGAAATAGCCTTTCTACTTCTGAAGATTAGCAACGTAGATCTGTCCCTCCCCATACCCTACCTAATGTGAGGCTTGTACACTAGGTTGCCCTTGTGTGTGTGTGTGTGTGTGTGTCCGTTTTTTAAATAAAACTAGACAACTCATCATGGTAGAAAGGTCTAATAAACTACTCCCACTAAAGACTAAAGCAGTTTCAAAAAAATCAATGACAGCATGAGAATGCCTACACAAATAACTAAAATTCAAAAAATTTCCAATCCCATCCACAGGTGCGGGCGCCAGCACACTTATGAATGACTGAACAGAACTTCAACCAAATTGTGACATCTTAATGAAACCCAGAAGATAAAGCTAACAATGCCTACTTCCAATGGAAGATTCACTTCTAAAAATGTAGAAGTTTAACTGTCAAAAGGTAAAGCAAGAGGGGAGAGCTTGAACAATAGACCAAAGCAAAAGAAAAGAAAATGCATCCATTAGTCCAAAATAGAAGAAAGCGAAAATATAGAATGCAGGGTAAACAAATTGAAGAACTAGATAACTTTCATCAATTGTGGATATTTCAAGCAACATTATCAAGCGAGAGACCCAAAATGAAAAGGGAAGAAGCAGAGTAAACAAAGAAAATTGCAAAGAAAGAGGTTTTAATTTAAAGCAACGAGAGAGGGTAAAAAACATCAATTGCCTTTCCGGCCTCTCAATCTCATACAATATAATAAGCCAGTGGCATATTTTCCAGCCCAAACCCCCCCCATCTGCTATTAAACATCCGCATTTTTTTTTTCTAGATCAAGCTTCTTCAATGTAGGTGACTAGCTATTGCCAACCGATACAAGGCTTTCTGCGTAATCATAAATACTACGAATAGGGCCAAAATTGGGAACAACAAACCTCTTTACCTCATTAGTAGTGATATTCATCGAATACAGAACATTTCTTCCCTCCTCATTATCCTCTGCAGAAGTAGGTGTGCAGATAATTTCATTCCTCCACATAGTCATTGATTCTAACGCGCGTGAAAAGGGGCTGCTAGTGTATCTTCTAGTCCAGCTCCATGTCTCCCCAGACGCACATGTACCCTCATCTAACACCCACAAATCAATCAAATCAGCTGTTTCATCATCGTTTTCCCAAATTTCACAAAGTATGGCAAGTTTGTTCTCGTAAACAGTAAGCTTTTCGTCTGCATTATAGTCTAAATTGGGCCTCGGTATCAATGCAAACACTTCCTTTGCTATGTCAAATGAAACTATAACCTCAACCTCATCTTCACCCTCCTCTGCACCTAGCTTTTCCCCATACCAAAATACGGCTCCATTTGCGGTGACAGTTTGAGAATAAAGTTTCACTCCCTTTAAGTTCCCAATATCTATTACCCTCCAAGACCCTCCATTTAAGGAAAACACTTCCACTCTATTAACCGCATCATAAACCTCAGCATAAGTTATTACTATCTTGTAATCATTAAGAATCGGGCTGAACCCAAACCCTGTCACGCTATCATCAAACTGAAAACCATCAGCTCTAGTTCTAGGAACACGTCTGACTGCTGTAGTCGCAGGATTCCACAATGAAAACAAAGGAGGAGAATTATTGTAAAGATTGATTTCAACACAAAGCAAGCCATTGCAGGAACCTAGGATCCTAGCATCGCGCGAGGAATTGATCAAAGGTGGCCTGTGAACTTTTCGGACTTGCAACCCGCAATCCAGCAAACCCAAGCGCCAGCGCGAATAACTACGACTCCCATTACATTTGAGAAGAAAATAAGGCTTTTGATGACTGGACTGTTGAAGGTGGTCCGCGATGAAAGATGTATTTTTTATGAGATCTCTCCAATGTTTACAGACACATTGAAATCGGATTAGGGATTTTACCGGAAGTCGTTTCAGAATGTTTCTGATGATTTCTTGAGGAAGATATAACACGTCGCTGTCCATTGTCGTCTGCTCCATGATGCTCGGATCGAACGGTTTTCTCAGGAGAGAGCCCTCGCAATCAGAGATTTCAGGTTACAGTGAGGAGACCAAAGAAACTAGTTGAGTCGCCGGTTTACTGCGCTTCCCTTCCATTTTACGGAAACAAGTTCAAAACTTTTGTTTTGGGCCCGCAAATCAAAACCTTAAGTAAATATTAATTAAAAATGTAAACGATTACAGTATTATACATTTCCTCCCCCCCTATTATAAGTCGTAATAATAGGGAGTCGTAGTTAATCAGAATTTCTCTTTGGAATTCTTTCGATGACTTTGAAAAAGAATTAGGATGGTTATCTTGATCAAAATAATGTTTTTCTGAGAAGTTTTGTTGTCTTCTTTATTATTTTAATTCCTTGGGTCTTTTCATCCTCTTCACTTTAAATTTGTGATGTAAAAAGTCCCTTGTAGCTATGAATGGTACGCTACATCAACACCAAGCTTCACGCTTATATATTTTATTAACAACCAAATCTTTAAATAGTTTGTTAATTAAGAAATCTGGTTCTCTTTAATTTTCTTTCACTCTTTTTCAAAGAACTGTATACCATCTAATGTCCTCTTCTCACATGTGCCTCCAACTGCCTTTTTTGTGCATATCCAAATCAATTCAAACGTTACGTTTTTCAATCATTTTCTTTTCAACAAGGACTACCCCTATTCTTCTAGTTACTATGATGGCAAAAATTTCTTGATGGCAATGCAGCATCAGTCTAATTAATTTAAGCATCAACTGACTATATTGTGATTTTTTTATTCAGAACTCACTTTTATTGTGCAGAGTTGTTCTGGTTCCACTGACTAGACAGAGATCTTACAACTATGTTCCTCAGTCTCAGGCTGTCTTATATTACTCTCAACAAACTACTAAAGGGGGGTTTGTTGATATCTGAAGCAACCTGAATTTCTCCTACAGCTTTAGGGTTGTACACTACTTCTATGCTCCTATTTATAAAATATTTTTAGCATGTTTCGTACAAACAGAAAAAAGAACTTCTTAAACTAACTTTCCTTTAAAATATAACAAATTTCTAATTTTATCCCAAATTATCATGTACACTTTTTTTAAAAAAATTATTTACACTATAATAAGTAAAAAACCATATAGTACATTCATGCTAAAAGTTAAATAAAGTGACTCACAAGTAGGATTAAAAAAAAAAAGAGGGGGAGAATTACAATCAAGTTTTAAAGAAGAGAAATAATCACTAAAAAGTTCTAGTAACAACTAAATTTGGAACTTGTTTCGTAATTTTATTCTTTTTTTGAGACCTCATGATAATTCTCTCAAGTAAACTTTTCCTTCTATGAACAGGAATAGAAGAGTATGTCATTATGTTAATTTTCAGGGAACCGGCTTCTCTCTTATACTTTTTGGGTCGGCTGCCCCCCCGCTGCTTAAATGGCGTTTTCATTCTGCTTTTTCTTTTTTCTTTTTTTCTTTTTTAAATTTTCTGTTACCAAGACAAGCATCCAAAACCCACTAACCGGGTGATTTCAATAAATTGGTTTGGATTGTTTAAGATAATTGATTTGATTTTATTTTATTTTTTAAAACTAATTTTCCAATTCTTATAAATTTCATTCAATTATAAGTATTAGTGTATATGTTCATAATAATGTGGATATTGAATTTTTTTAAAAAAATAACGAAATAAAAGTTGCTTATTATCATCGCAATAAAATATTATTATACTCATAATTGTTTCCGCTGGCCAAAAAAATAAAACACCTAATCGTTGTTTCATTTATGTGTTTGTAATATTATTAGTTTTTCCTAGTTTGTTTTACAAACATAACAAAATTATTATTCTTATTATCATGTCCTTGCATTTATATATAACCAATAAAATAATTAATTCTTCTTACATCTATATATACTCATCATCTGATCCTTAATATAAGACTTAATTGTTGAATTAATTTTGGTCCTAAGACCTAATTCTTATATATATCAATTTTTCCTAAATTACTTCTATTAATACTATCTCAACTATAATCAAATAAGAAAGAGAGTGAGGATATTAAAGAAGGTGATTATGGTGTTTTAAAAAAAACATGTCATATTTCTTATAATTAACTAACTTATCTATTTTTTAATATAATCAAATTAGTTAAATATGTCTTATATTAAGGATCAGAGGAGTAATATATAATACAGATTATTTTGATTTTATTTATATTCATATAACAAATTACTATGATCATAACAATCTCCTTACATTTATATATCTTCATTTGAAAGATATAAGTTATGTTTAAAACTATCTAGGGAAAACTAATGATATTACAGATCATACGTAAATGAAAGGAAATGGTTATGAGCATAATAATTTTTTATTGTGTTGATAATAAATAAATTTTATTTCATCATTTTATTTTTAAAAATAATTTTTTTGGTTTGCATTTTATGACGACTTATATGTGCTTGATGAGTATATGTCTACATTATTATAAGCATAGGAACTAACACTTTTAATTGAAGAAAATTAATCAGAATTAGAAAAAAAAAATTTTGAAAAAAGAAACTTGGTAACACAAAATTTATTTTTAAAAAGAAAACAAATTTATGAATAGCCATCATTTTAAGCAGTGGAGGGCAGCAAATATTGAAAGTACTAAAGGAGAGATGAATAGCCGGCTTTGTTAATTTTATCCCAATTATTCGTTAGGATGCTCCACACTGTTTGTTTTATTTTATTTATTTATTTATTTATTGGTTGTTGTCTTGTTTTTGAATGTGAAGTTATGCTAACACACCAGGCATATGGACAAAAGAGCAAATAGAAGCATGGAAGCCAATTGTGGATGCTGTTCATGCCAAAGGCGGAATATTTTTCTGTCAGATTTGGCACGCTGGAATGGTTTCAAGTTCAGGTATTTTCTAGTCAAGTTTATCTTCTGCTCTGAGAATAGTGCTTCCATCGCAATTATCCAAGAATAGTATATGAGGCTCTCTAAATCTGATGTGTTTTTATTTAATATGCAACTCTAATCTGACTTGTTTAAACCCCTCTCTCTCTCTCTCTCTATATATATATATATATATGCTTATTTAGTCGTCTGACCTGAATTTTAAGAGATTGGGAATGATATTGGGAGTGGAACTAGGAGAAGGATGAGAAGGACAATAAGACTTTAAAATTATGTTTGATATGAAATGATATTTGAAGAAAATGTTTATATTAATTTTATATTATTATAATTAGTCATCAATAATACAAAGACTTGCCCTTATAATAAATAAAAATAGGAGTTGGTGTAATATTACAGGGATAATTTGGTAAAAATAATTTTCAATCCCGTGAATGATTTTCAAATATCATGAGACGCAGAGGTATTAATGCTTCATACTAAATGAAATCTTAGAGTCCCACTGCCATTCTCCTGTAGTATTTGTACTATTTTCTGTTCTTAATATAAAAGTTAGATAACTAATTTGTGAATACTAAGACAATTAGTTAAGTTAGTTATTTGTAATAAATAATGATGTCTTTACTAAAATACTCCTATCAATCATGTGCATTAAAGATACTCCTTGATGAAAACTCTTTAAGCAAAATGGATAAATATTGGAGATAAAATAAAATAGTGTCTTGCATTTAGAATTAAATTAAATTTCCAATTAGTTATTATATTAAGAAAGGTAACACTCGTACTTTTTATCTCTCCCAATTTACTTTGGAACCAAATAAATCTGATCTACTCCTCTAGCCCTAATTATAAGGCTATTCTAGCAAGTTTTACACAAACAAAGAAAAATCTTAAAACATATTAACTCTCTATTAAAAGATAACAATTTTCCAACTTTACATCTATTTAATATATAGGTTTTTTTAAAAAAATACTCTTGCTGGTCCTTATTATAAGCTTAAAATAATTAAGGGAAAATTACGTACACGTCCCACAGAAGGCAATTTATTACTCTGAGGTCCCACAAAATGTCAAAATCACTGACAGGTCCCAAGGGACCTCAGAGTAATATTTTCGATTTGTAAAATGACATTATTGCCCCTCATATTTCAGATTCACATTTGCTCTGTCATTACGATTTACAACCTCAGCAGCGACTATTAACAACCCAATGAGAGGGCGTTAACAACCCTAGCAGTATCCGTTAATAACTTACTTTATAGAATCATATAACCTCCACATAAGAGTAAATTATAACCAAATAGTATAATACAACAACTTTAACACTAAAATGGGAAGCTTTTTGATATCATTAAGAATTTTAACTAGATCCAATAGGATTATAGTAATATTTTAATGCGAAGATCCATTTACAACCTCAACAGCGACTATTAACAACCGAATGAGAGGGCATTAACAACCTAAGCAGTATCCGTTAAAAACTTACTTTATAGAATCATATAACCTCCATATAAGCGTAAATTATAACCAAATAGTATAATACAACAACTTTAACACTAAAATGAGAAGCTTTTTGATATCATTAAGAATTTTAACTAAACCTAATAGGATTATAGCAACATTTTAATGCAAAGATCCATTTACAACCTCAATGGTGAGTATTAATAACCCAAAGAGAGCTGTTGACAATCTAGGCAATATCTATTAACAACTGACTTTATAGGATAATATAACCTCTAACAACTATATAAGATTAACTTTAAGACTATTTAGTTATAATTTAGTTAGTTATAGTTAGAAGTTATATTATCCGATAAAATTAGTTGTTAACAGACACTGCTAAGGTTGTTAACAGTTCTCCTTAGGTTATTAATACTTACTGTTGAGGTTGTAAATGGATTTTCGCATTAAAATGTTGCTATAATCCTATTGGGTTTAGTTAAAATTCTTAATGATATAAAAAATCTTCCCATTTTAGTGTTAAAGTTGTTGTATTATACTATTTGGTTATAATTTACTCTTATACGGAGGTTATATGATTCTATAAAGTAAGTTGTTAACGGATACTGCTTAGGTTGTTAATGCTCTCT